GCCCGGAGCCCCTCCGCGGCTTTGCTCTGCGTCTTCCTGGTCTGCAGACCAGGGAGACGCAGAGAGAGCCCCAGAGTACACGGGCGGCAGGACCGCGAGGTCCCGCAGTCCGTGTACTCTGGGGCAGCCCCGTTCGTATCTGCGGATCCGACATAAGTCGGATCCGCGTAAGTCGGGGACTGCCTGTACTTCGATGTAAATGGTCTCTTGATGTTAAAACAAACTTACTTTTTTTTCAGTGAATACAAGTGTTTTTAGGATAGGTGAGGCTAATGTTTTGCACTTGAACAATATTTTTCTAAAAGATTCTGGTAGACTTTGTAGCTTAAATCATTTAGATCATGCTTTCTGTTCTGTGTTTAAGAACTAAGGAAAATCACTATCAGTATTGCCTTTGATACATGCTTAATTTATTTGTATTTTAAATTTTACTTGATAACTATTTAGACTGCCTGTGAGTGATCAATTTGTGACTTCAAAAATCTCTCATTAGAAGGATCTTTGTTGTAATCTAAGGGAACATGTGAAGCAGCTTGAAAGAATGCTGGAAGAAAGCAAACTAGAAAAAACAGAGATAATCAACCGACTGACAAGAAGCCTAGAAGAAAGTCAAAAGCAGTGTGCAAACTTACTGCAAACGGGTTAGTGTTGTCCATTCATCTTTTCTGCTATGATGGAAACAATAAGGATGAAATTGCATATTAGGTGCAGAGTGTTTAATAAACATGTATTAGACTTTTTGGGAAGAAATAGGTTAACCAGATTTAACTGAAATTCATTACATGATTTTAGGCATGAAATGAAATGTTAGGACAAACAACTCATAGTGAAAACAACTCCTAGTGCAAGATACATTGCATGAATATGTAAAACTTGCCTTCTTTAATATTCCATAGTTGTCTATTGATAAATCACTAACTTCAGCAATATTGTTCTTAAAAACTGTGCCTCAGGGCACTGGTTGGTTTAGGAGATTGGTGATGGAAAACTGTTGTCACTTGTCCCAGATAAATAATGACTCAGTAACCAGTATTTAATTGGTGGTTTCAGACCTTGTCTACACACTTTCAGTGGTTTAGTTAGATATGTTTTCAAACTGAATTCATTAAACCTCTGCAAGTTTGTGTGCAGGTTTTGGTCTGAGTGGCTTATTACTACTGTTTATTTAAACTAAAAATGTGTGAATGAAGCGAAGTCAAAATAAGCCTCTTCTAAACCAAAATAAGAGTGCCTGCCCACAGACTTGCACTGGTTTAACTGAACTAATTCAGCAAATATGACAAACTAATTCCCAAGCTATGCCAGTGTATGTGTAAACAACCCTAGTTCGGTTCTTACTGGACTGGGATCAACATATCTCTGTTGCAGTTTGCCAAAGAGAGCACATTTGAATTTGAAACTAAAGGAAAAATAAGCCAACTCATCCGTTGGAAGTAATCCCTTAACAATCTTCCTGTTAAGAAGATTTTGGGAAAAGTCTAAATGGAAGTGGGTGGGAGGGGGGGATTATTTTTTTAAGTTTATTTTCTATAATAAAGCAATAAGTAATTATAAATGTAACTGGCAATATTAAGTGGGATGCAGTTGGCTAACCAAAGAGTGGTTGATAATTTAGGCAGCAAAAGCTATTGCGTAATACCCTTAAAAGTAATGTTATATTGGCAATGTCTTAAAATTCGTCTTTCTTTCTTTCTTTTTTTTTTTTTTTTTTCAACCTACTTTCCAAGACAACCTTATTCCTGATGTGTTTTTGGGGTAGTTTCTCAATTTTCTCTTTGCTCCTGGATAATTACAAGAAAAACAAACATTTGACATGTCTTATTTCTTGTAATTTCTACTTTAAACTACCAGTTTAAAAAAACCTGAAGAAATAAACCCACTGCAATTTGAGCATTGAACAAGCTGCTATTTAAATCTGAAAAAATAATCTTCTTTTCCAAGTAGCCAAAAAAATCTCTTCCCCTTTTTTATAACTTATATTTTAAAATAGCAGAGTTCAGGAGCATTGTACATGAATAAGAGCTACAGCCATAGACAATATATTTACTTTTGTTAGTGAATTTTCAGTAGTCCTCTTCCTTATGTAAGTGTTCTCTTCTATAGGTTCGATACAGGAGACAAATCAATTACGATTACAACTACAGCAAACTCAGTCCGCACAGTTGATGAGCAACAACATGAACAAGACTTTGCAGGTTAATTTACTTTTATGAAAAAATATTTTGACATAGAAAAGGGAGGTGGTAGGAAGGATGAGAATCTACTAAGCTGAACCACATTGTAGACATGTCATGGAAGTTGAATTCATCAGTAGGTATTTCGTTGTTGAAAGGAGAATGGCTCTCCAGACTCAGAATGTATATTCCTTGCCAGACTTGCTCATTTAAAACACAGGGATTCATGTGTCTCAGCAGTGTAAACTTTACATCATGTGTTCATCTAGTGTGCTGATGGGAGAAGAAAGTATTTCAAATTCAAATTCTGTTTCCAAAGTAAAGAGAAAAATCTAATTGAACAGGAAGGGACTTATTGGAAGTACAATATTGTTCTGAAGCATATCTTTATGAACAAGTATTACCACCATGAGCAAATGTGGAGAATGTTGCTACCAATTATTTCTGGAAGTCCATGTTCTCAGTTTAGTTCATTTAGATGTTTAACTTGTAAAATCCTGCCGTCTTGGAAACTATGAATCTTCTCACTACACTAGCTGCTAGTGCAGCTAAACTGCTGCACTCCCTCTATATAGACCCTCATCAGGATGATAACTGAGAGAAGACAAAGGAAGAGGTAAGGATGAAATAGTCTGAAATCATCCCTTACCTGAATGCTAGCTGTGGTACTAAGAAATCTTTAATATACTGGACATATGGTGAGCGTATAAGAAATATTACAACTTGGTTTTTAATGTAACTTAACCTCTAATTAAAGTACATCACAGATGTGAATAATAGGTAATACTAACAAAAAGTCATGTGTTTCTAGAATTATAGCAATGCTTGGTGGTTCAAATGTGTATGGCCCATAAATATAGATACAAATTTAGTAACTTCAGAAATTTATTTTACTTTTAGCCTCTTAGAGTAAGGATGTAAAATTTTGATTAATTGGTTAATCGAATAGTCGATGCAATTTGGTAATCAATAAGGGCACTTCCACCTTCAAAGGCGAAAGCACTTGTGGGGAGCACGGAGCCAACCGGGGATTCAAGCAGTCTCCCGCTGGCCTTGTGCTCCCTGATATGTTTCAAAGCAGTAGTACCACATGTAGCCCGGGGTCAGCAGGGGAGTCCCCAGTTAATCCCGGGCTCCATGCGGTGCTATGGCTTTGAAGCACTCCCTTCTCCCTCCTGCACCTGCTTGCTTCTTCTTTCTAATAGAGGCAGCAAGGAGAGGGAAAGCGACTAGTCGACTAGCTTGTTGACTATCCGATAAGCATTTGCTTATCGAATAGTCGTTCACATCCCTATCTTAGAGAGAGAAATTCCTGCTAGACCTAGAAGGCTTGATATCATAGTTTGCTTTGACTTGGTTGACCTGGTCACTCTAATTCTACTTTTTTGCCTTTTTTAGGAAGAGCTAACAGCGCTAAAGGAAGAAATTGCTTTGTATGAATCTGCTGCCAAACTTGGAGTATTTCTGAATGATGCAAGTGGAGAGCTTCATGTGGATATGACTGATTCTTATGTGGATTTGGGTATTAAAAAAGTCAACTGGAAAAAATCAAGATTTCATAGGTATTGGGTGAATATCATTCTACCAAAAAAAGTACTAAAACCGTTTATATAATAATGCATCAATCAGTCTACAGAAGATGTATCACCAGCTGTCCCAATACTTGAAAAGGAAGGAAAAAATCATGTGTATCTGACTTAAGCTGTTGCATGTGGATTTGAACCAATGGTCTGATCCTGTCTAGCAAATCATACTCCAATTGCTTACTACATTTTTAGTGCATTATTTAGGAATTTAGTTACTATGCCGGTTTATAGACCAATAGAAGGGGATTTAGTAGACCTGTATGCAACATGTTGAAAACTTATCCTTTTAAAAATCTTCCTTTGATATTTGCCTACAGAAGTAGTTGGCAGATTCTGTACTATGAATATTAGGTATACAGGGAAATATTGGATGATAAATGTATACACAGAGCACAGTAGACAGCCATTCCTCACCTATTGAAATTCTTGGTCTTCAAGGACAGGGTTTCAAAATATGTATGAATACTCTTGGATGCTCAAAATGGCACCTCTTACTTGTTTGTTTAAAGCAATGTTTTAAACAACTGATCACTAGTTATAGTTCACAGTAGCATAATTTATGCAGAGTTGAAGCAGTTTTAGGAAATAATTTCTTAATCCTGGAAACTCTAATTGTTTTCTAATCAATTGTATAGATCATTTGTTGAAATAATGTATATAAATGTGTAAATGAAGTTCTTTGCAGGTAACATAGTAACAAAACAAATCTAGTTCTTCTTCGAGTGATGTCCCTGTGGGGGCTCCACTCCGGGTTCTGGTGCGTCCTTGTGCCAATGACTAGAGATTATTTTTCTAGCAGTGCCCCAGACCTAAACCATCAGACAAGCCAAAAATTATGGACAAAGCTCGTCCCTCTACTTCTGGCAAGTCGAAGGCGAAAACCTGGGCTTCCCCAGCCTGATCACTACCCCCAGGTACTGAGATATTCAAGGGAGAGCATTGGTGATAAGCCCCGCACCTCCGTTATGGCACCACCTAAGTTGTTGGCACCACACAAAAGAGCCCACTCCAAGCCCAAACAAAAGCAGTCAGCACCACTAGCACCAACCACAATGGCCGAATGTGTGACATCCACTAGACGCATACCGGCACCGTAGACCGTACCAGATGCGGCACCGAAGAGACCCCACTCTGGAATGCCTCCCCTCAAGGCGACATCTCCAACGGCACCTGCGGTACCAATTACCACACACTCAGCCTTGACACCGCAATATGCACGGCACCGTATGCCCCCTTTCATCCAGGCTTCATCAGTACTGCCATCGCTGTATTCATCGGTGCGGTCCATTCAATCACTGAGATTACCGGTCTCATCGATCTCCCCCAGTGAAGCCAGCACCAAGACACATAGCTGCTTCTCATCTCAGCATTCAAGTCCAGCTCAGCAGTTCCCACCTTGGGAGTCTTGCTCCTCCAGACAGTCTCACCCTCCTCCACCACCGCCTTGATACTCACAACATTGGGCATATCCCCACTACCCACTCTGGACAATTGCATCCCTGAGAGTCTTGGTCTTCTCGTAGGAGCATCACACTGCTCTGTCAACAACATCGAAAAGACCACCTCAGTCTCTTCAACCCACACCATTAGCCATAGCACCGAACTCTCCAGAGCCCATTCAGTCTGACTTAGTTAGAGAGTTGTCTGAGGGGGAACACAGGTACCCCTACACAACTTCTCCTCTTAGCCTCATCTGGGTATCATTTCTACCACCCTGCCTCCATCCAACAATTCTAAACCGTTCCAAGAACTTTTTAACAGAGTAGCCCTGGCAAAGGAACGGGAACTGCAGGAAGTGCAAGAGAAGCAATATTGCCTTTTATTTACTGTTCAGCCCCCTACATACTCCAGGATTACCCTCCTGATGGATGAAGCCATTATGGACACCTCCCCCAACATCTGGCAAACCCTAGCGTCCGTTACTTGCAGACAGCCTTCTGGTTGGTGGGGGTATTTTATAACATCTAAAGGCATGGACTTTCTCTTTATACACCTGCCCCCAAAATCCTTAGTAGTCAACTTGGTCAGACACCGGGAAAAACAGCTCAACATGAGGTCCACTCCACAGAACAAGGACCATAAATGGATGGACATCATGGGGTGCAAGGTCTATTCTTCAGCTATCTTATAAGAAAATAAGAATAGCCGTACTGGGTCAGACCAAAGGTCCATCTAGCCCAGAAGCCTGTCTGCTGACAGTGGCCAGCGCCAGGTGCCCCAAAGGGGGTGGGCTGAAGACAGTGATTAAGCGATTTGTCACGTGCCATGCATCTCCAGCCTCTGACAAACAGAGGCCAAGGGACACAATTTCTATCCTCTGGCTAATAGCCTTTTATGGACCCAACCTCCATAAAATTATCTAGCTTCTCTTTAAACTCTGTTTTAGTCCTAGCCTTCACAGCTTCCTCTGGCAAAGAGTTCCACAGGCTGACTACACACTGTGTGAAGAAGAACTTTATTTTATTAGTTTTAAACCTGCTACCCATTAATTTCATTTGGTGTCCTCTAGTTCTTCTATTATGGGAACTAATAAATAACTTCTTTATTCACCCTCTCCACACCACTCATGATTTTATATTCCTCTATTATATCCCCCCTTAGTTTCCTCTTTTCTAAACTGAAAAGTCCCAGTCGCTTTAGCCTCTCTTCATATGGGACCTGTTTCAAACCCCTAATCATTTTAGTTGCCCTTTTCTGCCCTTTTCCAAGGCCAAAATATCTTTTTTGAGGTGAGGAGACCACATCTGTACACAGTGTTCAAGATGTGGGCGTACCATAGTTTTATACAGGGGCAGTAAGATATTCTGTGTCTTATTTTCAAAATATGTATGAATACTCTTGGATGCTCAAAATGGCACCTCTTACTTGTTTGTTTAAAGCAATGTTTTAAACAACTGATCACTAGTTATAGTTCACAGTAGCATAATTTATGCAGAGTTGAAGCAGTTTTAGGAAATAATTTCTTAATCCTGGAAACTCTAATTGTTTTCTAATCAATTGTATAGATCATTTGTTGAAATAATGTATATAAATGTGTAAATGAAGTTCTTTGCAGGTAACATAGTAACAAAACAAATGAAGTTCTTCTTCGAGTGATGTCCCTGTGGGGGCTCCACTCCGGGTTCTGGTGCGTCCTTGTGCCAATGACTAGAGATTATTTTTCTAGCAGTGCCCCAGACCTAAACCATCAGACAAGCCAAAAATTATGGACAAAGCTCGTCCCTCTACTTCTGGCAAGTCGAAGGCGAAAACCTGGGCTTCCCCAGCCTGATCACTACCCCCAGGTACTGAGATATTCAAGGGAGAGCATTGGTGATAAGCCCCGCACCTCCGTTATGGCACCACCTAAGTTGCTGGCACCACACAAAAGAGCCCACTCCAAGCCCAAACAAAAGCAGTCAGCACCACTAGCACCAACCACAATGGCCGAATGTGTGACATCCACTAGACGCATACCGGCACCGTAGACCGTACCAGATGCGGCACCGAAGAGACCCCACTCTGGAATGCCTCCCCTCAAGGCGACATCTCCAACGGCACCTGCGGTACCAATTACCACACACTCAGCCTTGACACCGCAATATGCACGGCACCGTATGCCCCCTTTCATCCAGGCTTCATCAGTACTGCCATCGCTGTATTCATCGGTGCGGTCCATTCAATCACTGAGATTACCGGTCTCATCGATCTCCCCCAGTGAAGCCAGCACCAAGACACATAGCTGCTTCTCATCTCAGCATTCAAGTCCAGCTCAGCAGTTCCCACCTTGGGAGTCTTGCTCCTCCAGACAGTCTCACCCTCCTCCACCACCGCCTTGATACTCACAACATTGGGCATATCCCCACTACCCACTCTGGACAATTGCATCCCTGAGAGTCTTGGTCTTCTCGTAGGAGCATCACACTGCTCTGTCAACAACATCGAAAAGACCACCTCAGTCTCTTCAACCCACACCATTAGCCATAGCACCGAACTCTCCAGAGCCCATTCAGTCTGACTTAGTTAGAGAGTTGTCTGAGGGGGAACACAGGTACCCCTACACAACTTCTCCTCTTAGCCTCATCTGGGTATCATTTCTACCACCCTGCCTCCATCCAACAATTCTAAACCGTTCCAAGAACTTTTTAACAGAGTAGCCCTGGCAAAGGAACGGGAACTGCAGGAAGTGCAAGAGAAGCAATATTGCCTTTTATTTACTGTTCAGCCCCCTACATACTCCAGGATTACCCTCCTGATGGATGAAGCCATTATGGACACCTCCCCCAACATCTGGCAAACCCTAGCGTCCGTTACTTGCAGACAGCCTTCTGGTTGGTGGGGGTATTTTATAACATCTAAAGGCATGGACTTTCTCTTTATACACCTGCCCCCAAAATCCTTAGTAGTCAACTTGGTCAGACACCGGGAAAAACAGCTCAACATGAGGTCCACTCCACAGAACAAGGACCATAAATGGATGGACATCATGGGGTGCAAGGTCTATTCTTCAGCTATCTTATAAGAAAATAAGAATAGCCGTACTGGGTCAGACCAAAGGTCCATCTAGCCCAGAAGCCTGTCTGCTGACAGTGGCCAGCGCCAGGTGCCCCAAAGGGGGTGGGCTGAAGACAGTGATTAAGCGATTTGTCACGTGCCATGCATCTCCAGCCTCTGACAAACAGAGGCCAAGGGACACAATTTCTATCCTCTGGCTAATAGCCTTTTATGGACCCAACCTCCATAAAATTATCTAGCTTCTCTTTAAACTCTGTTTTAGTCCTAGCCTTCACAGCTTCCTCTGGCAAAGAGTTCCACAGGCTGACTACACACTGTGTGAAGAAGAACTTTATTTTATTAGTTTTAAACCTGCTACCCATTAATTTCATTTGGTGTCCTCTAGTTCTTCTATTATGGGAACTAATAAATAACTTCTTTATTCACCCTCTCCACACCACTCATGATTTTATATTCCTCTATTATATCCCCCCTTAGTTTCCTCTTTTCTAAACTGAAAAGTCCCAGTCGCTTTAGCCTCTCTTCATATGGGACCTGTTTCAAACCCCTAATCATTTTAGTTGCCCTTTTCTGCCCTTTTCCAAGGCCAAAATATCTTTTTTGAGGTGAGGAGACCACATCTGTACACAGTGTTCAAGATGTGGGCGTACCATAGTTTTATACAGGGGCAGTAAGATATTCTGTGTCTTATTTTCTATCCCTTAATAATTCCTAACATACTATTTTCCTTTTTGACCGCCGCTGTACACTGTGTGGAAGTTTTCAGAGAACTATCCCCAGTAACTCCAAGATTCTTAGAGCAGCAAATTACACTGCTATGCTCGCCGATTAAGATTACTCCAGCTATTCTAAACTCCAAGAGCGCTTGCAGTTTCTCCCGGTGCACAAGAGGCTGATTTTGCTCAATGTCATGCACGAAGGGCATACAATCTGCCATGGATGTGGCTCACACTGCTGCTCAGATCACAGGCTTGGCTATTGTTATTCAGAGAGCATCATGGCTCCAAGCATCTGGGATACCTAGGGACCTCCAGCAGAAAGTCGAAGGCTTTTAGATATGACTCCTGCCAAAAACACAGGTCGCAATGGTGCAGAACTCGGCGCCAACAACAGCAAACCTTGACATCCCAACCTTCATTACCAGTATTGAGTGCTCCCATTCAGCCTTTCAACAGCTCCCAGAGGTCTTTCCAAAACTCTAGCCATTGTTGTGGCATTCCTATCCTGTCAAGGAGTCATAATATTCCGATACCCATACCTAGACAATTGTCTCATAAAAGGCACATTCTTCCAGGAAACACAAGACATGGTCAACAACTCCACCGATCTGGTAGTTATATGGAAACTGAGACAAAGTAAAAGTCCACGCTTTAGATTACTTATACTTTAGAGTTAATGGGCGCACACATCAACATCGTCGCAGCGAGGGCAGCTCTGCCCACTCACAGATTCAAGGCCCTTCACAACTTCATAACAGTGGTACATGTGACCTCCACTCCTGTGGTCTGCAAATGCCTCAAAATCATAGGGCACATGGCCACCGCCTCTTATGTGGTTCGATTGGCCAGACTACACATGAGGTGCCTCCAGGTCTGGCTGGCCATACTCTATCCCCCCTTCCTCCAGAGACCCCCTTTCCAGGACAGTCACCATTCCACCACATGTATTCAGTTCATTGGAATGATGGATGCATTCACACAATGTACTACGGGATGTGCCATTTCATCAGCTGACTCAGACTGTAACCATCATGACCGATGCATCCCTTATGGGATGGGGAGCTCATCTTGGATCCCATACTGTACAAGGCAAATAGTCCTTGAGTGAACAAAAGCTCCATATCAATCTCCTAGAACTAAGGGCTGTTCATTGGGCATGCCCGTTTCTACCCCATATAGCACACACAACAATCAGTATCACGACAGATAACACAACTTTTGAATGTATTCTATCAACCAACAGGGTGAGCCCCGGTCACCCTCCCTTTGTACGGAAGTCCTCAAATTATGGAACTGGTGCCTTGCACACCAAATTAGCCACGTACCTCCTGGGGTACTCAGTGTTGTGGCGGACAATCTCAGACATATCTTTTATGATCATCGTGAATGGGAGATAAATGTATTTGAGGGCTTGGACATCTATCTTCAATGGGGACAACCAGGTCCCTTCGCCTTTTCATATTAACAAACCTATACACTTACCTGCGTTCTTCCCCAAGCTGTACGCAGATCCATCCCAGGGTACACGGCATACCCTTGATGTCCGCAGATGTTCTACATAGATCAAACATTCGGCAAAGAATAGGAGAAGAGTGAGTGATTTTTACAATGATTTTGTTCGAAGGGCCAAGCAGTCTCTTCCCAGAGGATTTCCAGCTGGATCTCATCATGTATCCACACATGATATACCATCCACAACAAACAGCCATTTGATATCACCTACTCAACCTGGACCATGGCTTCCACAACTTCTTTCCTCAAAAATGTGCCTCTAGAGGACATTTGCAAGGTAGCCACTTGGTCATCCACCCACATGTTTGCAAAACGTTGCACGCTTATCTCTACCATCGCATCATCTATGGCTTTTGGACAAGGGGTCTTATCCTAGGTGGCAGGGCTCCAAACCCGCCTCCACGATTCGACTACTGCTTTGTAGTCACCCAAAGTGGAGCACCCATGGGGACATCACTGAAAGAATAAAAGAGAGTTACTCACCCTGTGCAGTAATGCGAGTTCTTCAAGATGGGTGTCCCTGTGAGTGCTCCACTACCCTCCCTCCTTCCCCTGTGTTGGAGCCTTCTTGGTCCAATGGCAAGGTTAGAGAAGGAATAGAGGGGGCTGCGCCTGGCGCATGCCTAATGGACACCAACGGCACGAGGAGGCACCAGGGTATGTGTGCGGTGAGGCAGGGCACTGTTAGAAAAAAATTTCTGGTCGCCAGTGTAAGAATGCACCGGAAACCAGAATGGAGCACCCATGGGGACACACATCTTGGACTCCCATTACTGCATAGGGTGAGTAACTCTCTTTTTCTAGTATTGCTTGAAGTATTTACTCATGGTGAACAATCTTTTTATACTTCTTTTAACCGTTCTATTGTTGGTAAATATAGTAAAGTTGCTGCTTGTTCTGTTCTACGCTTTTGGATGTCTACTCATTTTAACAATATTGGACTGGCTATATTTTCTCTAACAGTACTGTACAAACCAGAGATTTGGATAAAGAACTTTCTAAAGATGAGCTCATCCTAGAGTTGAAAACGGAAATGGAACGCTTATTGAGCAGTAACAAAATGAAAAGAAATCAGATTACTCAGTTACAAAATGATCTTAAAGACTGTCAGAGGACAACAGAAGAACTCAAGCAGTTGTTGAAAACCAATAAAACAGCAAACGAGAATGAGGTTTGTTCATTTAAAAAAAAAACACTGAACATTTAGACTTAATAGAACAAGGCAAAAAGTCACTGAATTTCAACTAACCCAAGCAAAATATGAGTGAGCTCTCATTTTCTCCTAAACAGCATTTTCAAGTAATGTCTTTGAACTACATTTACAAGAAGTTCTTAATGTAGCTGTTCTTAACCTTAAAGAAGGGATTAGTGTTATGCAGAAATAGGCTAAGTAGCATGAGGAAAAATGGAGATAACTGTCAGGTATTTTTAAACTACCACCAGAACTTGGATAATTTGTCTTGCCTTCCAGTTGAGTTTCTGATGTGAGGACTTGCTTGCACATGGTAGCAAGCTTTATTAATTGATTAAAATTATCTTCATAGTTCTGATTTCTCAGTGGTTGGGGGAAGCAAATCAGTCTTGCAAAGGCCTTCATGTCTCAATTAGATGGTAGCTGGCATTCAACTTTGGTGTAGGGCTTTGAGTATATACTTCTAGAATGAACCCAGAAGATATCACAAAAATGATAAAGATTGTCATATGAGCTGAATACTTAAAATCATAGTATCCTGTATTTTGTAATGAAGGCATTGCCTTTTACTGCTTTGTTTTGGCATCAAGGAGAGATATTTGCTTAACATGTTAACTTCTAAAGCAAGTTTGTATACATGTATGCCTGAATTTTTTTCAAGTTAGTTTTATGTTTTATTGATAGCCTAAAAGTAGCGTGGGAGATCAGACTGAAACCTTATGGTCCACTCCATTTGCGTCTGATAATTTTCTTCAAGAAGAGCTTCTGAGACTTAGAAAGGTGAATCAGGATTTACAACAAGAAGCTGAGGTGAGTTTAATGTCATGTTTAACCTTTCCCCCTTAAGGTAAAGACCAGCCAGATTGTCCAAAAAGTAAATTAAAATGTATTATTTAAAATTGTCTTTTCATGATTTTTACTTTCATTTGTATAGAACTATAGTTCGTGTATTCAAGAGCTTAAAGCAAGTGAGGAAAAACTGAAAATTGCAAACCAAGATCTGTGTAATCAGATGAGACAAATGATTCAGGACTTTGATCGGGATAAACAAGAAGCTGTTGACAGGTAGCTTTTCTAAATCCATCTCCATCTTCATCCACAATGGCCTATGTAGGTCCTTTTGTACAGAGATGGCAGTATTAGACTTCATGCTTCTCACAAAAATAAAACGAAACAAAAAAACAGTTGTGCTTGTACATAAACAGTGGAATGAAGCTTTAACTTTTTTCCATCCTAGGTGTGAAAGAACCTATCAGCAACACCATGAAGATACAAAAGCCCAACTTCAGGAAGATCTCATGGAGAGGCATGCTGCAGAAAAAGAACAGCTCATTAAGGCTTATGAAGAGACCATCTCACAGTTAAAGTAAGACTTTTATTAATTTTAACATCCTTAATTAGACTGAGAATCTACCATGAAGAAGCCCTCTTTGTCGCATTTCAAATAATTTCCTTTTTATATTATGAACAGTTTATGGTCATGTTTGTGAATGTAAAAAATAACAATAATGATTTATGTAAGGGCTGACATGGATGAGTTGAACAAGGAGATGACTGCAGTGAAGGAATGTTACATAGCAATCTGCAGAGAGAGAGACTCACTGGAAATAACTTTGAGGAAGAAATTTGAACAAGAGCAGCAGTCAAAGGAAGAGAAGGTACAAGAAAAAAGTCCCCCTTTCAGAATGCTTTGCTAAACTAGAAGTATGGGAAAGGTATTGAATTTCATGACTTTTCTTTTTCCTTCAGGAGTGAAGGGCTGAGTTCCACTTCTGTTTTTGTCCATGGGGTAGGGTATAAATCTAAGTATATGTACAGACTTTGAGCTATGACTGAATACTTGCTGTCAATGAAAAGCTGCCATAGAGAGAAATGATAGAATATAGTCTTTACATAGTGCCTAAACTGTTGGTTATCCTTATTTATTTACTTATACCGTGTCACATTTAAAATTATCCCATGGAAAAGGCTCCCCTTTTGACTCTTATTTCCTTTTCCTTTGTGTCCTTTTTTCTGCTGACCTCACTTGTTTGTCGTTGTGTCTGTGTTCTGGTCTAAATTTCTCTCCCTTCAACAGCTTCCAATTCCAAACTTTCTGTGGGTGTTGATCTTGCCCCTATCACATTCTGCCTGCTAAAAGGGTAAGCTGTTAAGTAGTTAATGCTGGCACTGAATTCCTATTCTCTGATTTTAAAGTTGATGGTTCTGTAAGATTAAAAGTCTATAAGGGGAAGTTCATGCCTTCGAGTCATTGTTCTGAAGCTGCACACTTAGGGGAGACCTCTTATACTGAAGGCTTGTCTGTACTACAGAACTTTACAGCAGTGGTTGCCAACATTTTTAACCACAAGATCACTTTTTCAATTTAAGTGCAATATAAGCTGTACCTCAAACCCAAATATCCTTGCCTGGCTTCCTTCCCTCCCCTTCTCTGAGGCCCCACCCTTGCTTCATCCCTTCTCCAAGGCCTTACCCTGCTCACTTCATCTTTCTTCCCAAACCTCATTCACTTTCACTAGGCTAGGGTAGGGGGTCGGAGCGCAGGCTCTGGTCTTGGGCCAAGGGATTTAGAGTGTGGGAGGGGCTCCAGACTTAGCCCAGGGTGGGGGATTGGGGTTCAGGAGGGGTTTCAGGGTGCAAGCTCTAGGAAAGAGTTTGGGTATAGGGGACTCATGTCTGGGGCAGGAGGTTGGGTGCAGAAGGAAGTTCAGGGCTGGGATAGGGGTTCAGGAAATAGGATTTGGCTGGGCACTGTTTAACTGAAACAGCTTCTGAGTAGTGGAGCACTGGAGTTAAGGCAGGCTTACTCCTGCCCTGACCATGCACCACTCCTGAAAGCAGCTGACATGTACAGCAATGGCTCCATGGTGCCACATGCTGCCCCTCATCTACAGGCAGCTTCTACTGATCATTGGGAGCTGCAGGAGTGATGTCTGCAGGCAAGGACAGCATGTGGAGACACCTTATTCTATCTCTCTCCGGGGCTGTAGGGACATGCCAGCCACTTCCAGGAGCAGCAATTACCACAGGGATAATTATTCCAGCTATGACAGGTTAGGCATTTTAGAGCTCACTACTCAAAGAATAAAATTTAAGCGTAAGAGAGAAATGAAAATTATGAGATGCACAGACCAGTCAAAAACCAAAACTAACATGCTTTGCAAGCAGTAAAAGGAGTAACAACAGCCCCCCAAATATGTGTTGGGTCAGGAGATGAGAGTGAAGGAAAGTGTGTGTTTGTGAGAATGAAAATGAATTTATGTACTGAAACACAGTGTTAGTGAGAGATTTTCATTGCCAAGCTCCCTCCATCCCCTTCTCTCTGTGTGGAGGTAGGGTACAGGAGTGCGGGCGAAGGAGACACCCTGACATCACCATCCCCTCTTCTCCCTCCCACACCCTGTACAGCAAGCAAGAGGCTCCTGGGGGGCAGCTCCAAGGCAGAGGGCAGGAGCAGCATGACAGTGGGTGGAGGGGCAACTGAAGTGCCAGTGCTTGACAGCTTCCTGGCCAAGCCAGTCGGGATCACCTGTCAGAGCCTCCAAGATCTACTGGTAGATCCCGATCTACTGGTTGGTGACCAATGCTTTACAGTAAAGTAATGTCAACATAACTCCATAGTGGAGAGACACTGTAAACCAACAGAAGGCATTCTTCTGGCATACCTACACCACCTCCTTGAGTGACAGTAGCTATGCCAACAGAAGCGCATGTCGGAATAGTTGTGTCTACTGGGGGTTTGCCAACATAGGGGTGAACTGATTTAAATCACCAAATGGAAAGCTTTAAATTAAATTTATTTTAATCCGCTTTGCTTTTGTACTTCCATTATTCCTTAAAGACAGGAGATTTTCATTAGTTAATATAACCATTAACATATGTTGATCTAAAACTAAATTGAGTCCTTACACTAAATAGGGTACATTTTTGCCATGTAGAAGGGTACACTATAACTATATTTATTTACTGAAACAAGTGTAGCTTAATATAATTACGGGAAATTCACTTCATGTTACTGAAAAACCTCAGGTCAACAGAACTCAGCGCCTTTTGTGTTTGAGGTGTACATGAAGAGGAAACTAATTTGCGTTTGGCGTGTTTTTGTTTAAAGTGTTTTACTGTGCGTAATGTTGATGGTTCATCTTATAGGTGTGCAACTATATCAGAAATTTAATGGGTCTAGCTAATAGCACATGTAAAAATGTTCATGATCAGTGGAGCTTTCTATCCTTGTAGCTATCCCATGAAAAAATGTAGTGATGGTTAGAATTGTGATATCAGCTGTAACCTCTCCTACCATTTGCTCATTTGCATCGATACTATATAACATTTACTGTGCTCTGAAAAGGGATTCTGTACAAGTTGCTTCTATGTCAGACTAGTTCAGTATATAGACCAGTGTTGTTTTTTTCTAATTGCATTCATTGCAAGCTTCATCTGGGATCTGAAAACTGTTTTATTTCTTATCTACAATGACAGTGAATTAAAGCTGACCACTATTTTTATTCATGTGAGAGAATAGAATCTGTGTTGTTTTTCTGGAGGTACATTGAGTATCTGAAGGGCTATTGGTATGTGAGCAGTCTTCTTTCCTAAAGCAGCATAAACAGATGCAGCTCAGAATACTGGGAGCAGATATGTTGACTCAGAAAAGTCACAGTAGTCACTCATAATAATAACCACACTTTAAGAGAAAGTATTTATCAAGAAGAAAATATCTCATTGAGTAGTCAGTAATGAAGTGCACAGGCTTTATAATCTTAATCGGGTCTATTCTTTCTGGTGTGTGTAACAGTTGGCTAAAGTTTGTTGAGTTGTATGCTTGAATGTTGTCTAGTTCAAGAAACAATTATTGGAAGAAAAAGAAGAATCTCTTAACCATCTGAGGACTGAACTAGAAGAAAAGCACAGGAATTCTATTATAACAGCAAAAAAACAATGGCTGAAAGAAAAAGAAGTCGGTATTAAACAGCAAGTGGAAAATGAAGTGGCATTAGCAAAAGCCCACTGGGAGAAGGAACAGAAAGAGGTGTGTGGCTTGTACTAATAGACACGTACAAATTCATAATAGTCTATTAATGGACACTTAGGAGCAGATCTTCAGCAGATATAGCTCAATGTAAAGTCACTGAAACTATGGTAACTTAAACCAGTTTGGAATCTGCTCCTTTAATGTTAAGAAATATACTGAGCTGCTGAAATCAGTGGGAGTTGCAGATGCTCAGCGCATCTTCATCAGGCTTTAATTTAAAATTAACCTTTAAAATGTATAATAACTGCACCCATAAGCACATCTAAATATTTTGCTTGAATTCTAGAATGGGTGATTCATAAGTTGTATTTGCCATTTGCTTTAGTAGCCATGTAAACTTATTTGCACGTTTTTTATTGCCGTCTCAAAAACTGTAGAATGGGAACACAAAAGCACTCTGCCTTTGTTACTCTTACGTACTGAGATTTCTTAAATTTAGAACATAAGAATGGCCATAGTGGGTCAGATCAACGGCTCATCAAGCCCCATATCCTGTATGCCGATGTGGCCAATGCCAGGTGCCCCAGAGGGAGGGAATACAACAGGTAATCTTCATGTGATTCCTCTCCTGTCACCCATTTTCAGACAGCCGCTAGGGACACCATTCCTACTCATCTTGGTTAAAAGCCATTGATGGAGCTAACCTCCATGAATATATCTAGCTCTTCCTTGAATTCCGTTAAAGTCCTAGCCTTCACCACATCGTCCAGCAAGGTTGACTGTGTGCTGAATGAAGAAAAACTTCCTTTTGTTTGTTTTAAACCTGCTGCCTATTAATTTCATTTGGTGACCCCTAGTTCTTACATTGTGGGAATAAGTAAATAACATTTCCTCCTTCACTTTTTCCATACCAGTCATGATTTTATAGACTTCTATCCTATCCCCCCCCCCTTAGTCTCCTCTTTTCTAAGATGAAAAGTCCAAGTTGTTTTAATCTCTCTTCATATGGGACCCATTCCAAACCCCTAATCGGTTTTGTTGCCCTTTGCTGAACCTTTTCCAATGCCAGTATATCTTTTTTGAGATGAAGCAACCACATCTGTACACAGTATTCAAGATGTGGGAGTACCATGGTTTTATATAGAGGGAATAATCTATTCTGTCTTCTCTATCACTTTTTAAATTATTCCTAACATCCTATTTGCTTTTTTGACTGCCGCTGCACACTGCGTGGATGTTTTCAAAATTATTCCTAACATTCTATTTGCTTTTTTGACTGCCGCTGAACACTGAGTATATGTTTTCAGAGAACTATCCACAATGACTTCAAGATCTCTCGTTTGAGTAGTTGTAACTAAATTAGTCCCCACCATATTGTATGTATAGTTGGGATTATTTTTTCAATGTGCATTACTTTACATTTATCAACATTAAATTTTCATTTGCCATTTTGTTGCCCAATCACTGAGTTGGGTGAGATCTTTTTTAAGCTCTTCACAGCCTGCTTTGGTCTTAACCATCTTGAGCAGTTTGGTATCTTCTGCAAATTTTTCCACCTCATTGTTTACCCTTTTCTCTAGATCATTTATAAATAAATTGAATAAAATTGGTCCCAGGACAGACCTTTGGGGGACCCCACTAGTTACCTCTCTCCAATCAGAAAATGTACCATTTATTCCTACCCTTTGTTTCCTGTCTTTTTTTAACCAGTTCTCAATCCATGAAAGTATCTTCCCTCTTATCCCATGACAACTTACTATACAGAAGAGCCTTTGGTGAGAGACCTTGTCAAAGGCTTTCTGGAAATCTAAGTATATTATATGCCCTGGATCCTCCTTGTCCACATGTTTGTTCTGCAAAAAACTCTAGCAGACTAGTAAGGCGTGATTTCCCTTTACAGCAGCGGTTCCCAAACTCTTTGACACGGGGACCAGTAAATCCATTCACAAGCTTTTGGAGGACTGGTAACATTCATTTGCATATTCCTTAAACAAATGATGAATATTCAAATAAGTTGTTTCTGGTCTTCCCAAAGCCCCCAGTGCCAGCTTTAGCAAAGCTTTTTGATACAGTCTCCCACAATATTCTTGCCAGCAAGTTAAGGGAATATGGATTGGATAAATGGACTGTAAGATGGATAGAAAGCTCGCTAGACCAGGGTTTCCCAAACTTTTTACTTTAGTTAGAACCCGTTTTTTTTCAGTACTGTTTTTTGCAGCCCAAAAATATAAACACATATGAAAAAGGAATTTAAAATGAATACATTTTCAGTGTTTCACCTGGCTGCATTCTCCGCCCAGCCTGGGCCAGGGCTTGGGGGACCTGGCGCCGCATGGGTACTCCAGGAGGCGGAGGCGGGAGCAGGAGCAGATTGGGGTTAGGGTTTCTGGCTAGGAGGGAGGATGCAAGGAAGGGTAGGGTTGCCAGGTGTCCGGTTTTGTACCAGACAGTCCAGTATTTGAGGGTTTTGTCTGGGAAACAAATTTTCTAATTAGGCAAGTTTTATTATAATTAGGTGTATCAGTCTGTAGCTGCGAACTACCTGGCTGGTAAACGTGCTAACGCTGCGTGAGTGTGTCTACCAGCCAGGCAGTTTACAACTACTTAAGGAAGGGTATGGCGGAGGAAGGGGGGAATGGAATCCTTGGGGCCGGACTCACTCGTGTGCCGGGGTCAGCATGTTCCCGGGTCAGTCCTGCCAGCTGGCCAATTCTACCCCGCTTCTCCTCCCGATCTCCCCTGGCCAGCCCCACTGCTCCCGGCCAGCCCTGCTTCTGGAGGCTGGTTCTCCTGTCCTCTTCCTTCTTTACTCTGCCTGCCCTTTCTGAACAAGACTGCCCTTTAGACCCATATTCCAGTCATAAGACTTCCCGCCAAGCCTGTGATACCAACGGAGTCATAATTAAGCTTGTGGATGAAGAGTTCCAGTTATCTGTTTATTCACCATAGTCCTTATGTTTGGGTGGCGTCAATTAGTTGTCAAGCAGATTTCCTCACTTATTTCCCTCCTGTTACTCCTTTGATTCCACTGTAAGTTTCCATGTCCCACAACAGCTAGCCCTCTCAGTGTCTTTTTTTTTTTTTTTTACACTTGCCTTTGGCTTTTTGTCTCCTGCCCCCCTTTTAATCTAGTTTAAAGCACTTCCACAACGTTCCCACTTATAACCCAGCTTTCATGAGGAAAAACTGATTTTTTTAATCAAATTTCCAAATACAACCTCTGGGAGAGTGGCTTGGAAAATGTTTGCCTGAATGTTGACAGTTACAAGCAGATACAAAGGAAATACAGGCACTCTAGACTTACAAACAAAACCTCACTTGCAGCCTCAGGCGAGCAGGAAGAGGCACAGCACAAATGCTGGCTGGCCACCCCATGCTCCTCTGGAATCCTCAGCCTGCGCTTGCTGCCTCCTGGTGAACAGGGTGGGGTTTAGGTGCAGCCCACGTGCAATTTCCCATTGAGTTCTTTCACAACTCCTGGGTGAATGCCATCTGATCCCGGTGACTTGTTACTATTAAATTTATCGACTTATTCCAAAACCTCCTCTAATGACACCTGAATCTGGGACAATTCCTCAGATTTGTCACCTAAAAAGAATGGTTCAGGTTTGGGAATCTCCCCCAATATCCTCAGCTGTGAAGACTGAAGCAAAAAGTTCATTTAGCTTCTCTGCAATGACTTGATCATCTTTGAATGCTCCTTTGGCATCTCAGTTGTCCAAGGGTCCCACTGGTTGTTTAGCAGGCTTCCCGCTTCTGATGTACTTAAGCATTTTGCTATTACTTTTTGAGTTTTTGGCTAGCTGTTATTCAGACTCCTTTTTGGCTTTTCTTAATATATTTTTACACTTAATTTGACAAAGTTTATGCTCCTTTCTATTTTCCTCACTAGGATTTGACTTCCACTTTTTAAATCTCTTTTTATCTGTCACTGCTTCTTTTACTTGGCTGTTAAGCCACGGTGGCACACTTTGGGTTCTCTTACTGTGTTTTTTAATTTGGGGTATACATCTATTATGATGTCTTTGAAAAGTTTCCATGTTGCTTGCAGAGATTTTACTTTTGTCACTGTACCTTTTAATTTCTGTTTAACTAATTTCCTCAATTTTTTTGTAGTTTCCCTTTCTGAAATTAAATGCCACCATTTTGGGCTGCAAAGGTGTTTTCCCCACCACAGGAATGTTAAATTTTATTACATTTATTGTCACTAAGTTATCCAGTTATATTTACCTCTTGGACCAAATCCTGCACTCTATTTAGGATTAAATCAAGAATAGCCTCTCCCCTTGTGGATTCCAGAACCAGCTGCTCCAAGAAGCAATCATTTAAAGTATCAAGAAATTTTATCTATGCATCCTGACCTGAGGTGACATGTAGCCAGTCAATATGGAGATAGTTAAAATCCCCCACTATTATTGCACATGCATCTGACGAAGTGGATCTTTGCCCATGAAAGCTTATGCTCCAATAAATCTGTTTGTCTATAAGGTGCCACAGGACTTCTCGTTGCTTTTGCAGATTCAAACTAACACGGCTACCCCTCTGATTCTTGTCACTATTATTGAGGTTTTTTCAACTTGAGCACTCTAATCGGACTTGGTAAAAACGTGTTTCAAGAAGCTTAAATTACACTAACCCTTCAGAAATGGAAGTTCTTGTTTCTATAGAAGCAGCTTTATATCATCTATGTTGTGTTTCTCTCATCTCACAGGGAAAGATGTACACCTCAACTGTATAACTGACCAATAATAACTCTCGTTTTTACATATTTTTCTTCTAAAAATACTTTTCTTTTTTTAAATGTAGATCAAAGAACAAGTTATCCAAGAACTAGAAATAGAGTGGCAAGGCAAACTGGACCAAACTCTAGCAGAATCTAAAAAAACTTTAGTTGAACTCAAAAACAGTGGCAGCCAAACTGACCAAGTACCCATAATAGATGAAACATCAAGTAAGGAGATTGAAAGGATGGTTCAGGAGCAAAAATTGCAACAGGAGGATGCACTGAAAGAAAAGGAGAAGGCTGTTAGAGAGGCCTTGAAAGAACTTGAAACAGAACTGGAGAGAAAACATCATGAAAACATTGCCAATCAGGTAATATAGACATTTTACACTGCTTATTGTTTTACAGTTTTCAAACATGTAAAGTGAGTGCTATTAAATCAGAATGCCAATGTTTATACTTGCTTGATTGTCCTTTACTCAGTGTAAATAGCATAAGTTCAAAGCAGTGAAGAATCTGATGGTAAATGTGTTGTTTTAAGCAGAGGAAGTTATTATAAAGCAAGTTTAATCGTACCTTTAGTAATTCAAATTCTTGTATTTGATTATCTCCAAAATTTGAAAAATATTAACCTTCTGTTTTCCGCCTCCTGATGCTATAGAAATGATATGAAAGATCATCTAGGCCAGCAGTTCTCTAGCTATGCTACCTTTGAACTCTGTAACATGACTCAAAGGAATGAGCCAGTATAAGTTCCTGAATTTCTGAGCAAAACCACTTGATGTATTTTAGTAGTTAATTAATTTAAAACACAATTAATGTTACTTAATTCTCTCTCTTTTTGAGGGAAGGGGGTAAAGGAACCTCAAGTTATAATGCATTGGAACTTATTTAAAAACAAAAAAATGCGGTAACCCTGATACTTTTTCCTGTAAGCATTGGCAATTCAAACAGAAATTACAAGTTTGTCTTGTGCTGATGTACTACCTTCACTGTGTTAAACATGAAACCACATTTTGACTCTAATGGTTAAAATGAGTTCTTGTTCCTCTGTTTCTCTCTTTGAAGGTAGAAACAGCTTTGACCAAAGCTTATGCCAGGTGGTTGCAAGAATTAACAGAACTTGAAGAATACAAAAGAAATCTGAAAGAAGAGCGAGAGAAATGGGAAAGAGAGCATGAAATCAATGCAGCAAAACAGGTAGCAAAGCATACTTGGTCGGATGCTTGCTTGTGTGTGTGTTTGTGTGTGTGTGTGTGTGTGTGTGTGTGTGTATAAAGAAAATTTGAAAAAAAGTTAAGTTAAATCAAAACAATTTGAGCCCTGATTCAATAAAGCATATATTTAAGAGCTGTGCTAAACTCAGGTCTAATGAAGTAAATTACACTGGTTTAAAATTGTGAGTAGATTTCTCCGTTAATGGAAATGAGCAGAATTAAAATGAAGCCAATTTCTAGAGGCTGGAGCCAAATAATTTGCTACTGAAATAGGATTGATAATGGACTGACTTGTAAAACTCTTCTGACTTGAATGGAGAAACACTTGCAATCATTCTTTCTCAAATGGCTGTAGCAACTCCATTAATATTTCATCTTAACTGAAGGAAATTTTTTCTTAGGCTTCTGCAAGATTCTTAATATATTGTAAAGCTGTTATCACATTGATTAGATAGGAGGGACAGTCTCTGTGTGTGCGCGCAAACGCATACGTGCATGCTTAGCAATGCAGAACAATGTGTGTATCCACATTTTCAAACAGGGTTGATCAGTTTCTTTAAAGTTTATGCTGTTATAGCTGTTATGCTCTTATAATCCTTAAGGGTTTGCTGACAGACTGTTTTTAAATATATTTTGCATTCTTTAGCTATCACTAGTTCTTTCAGCAGCTGAAGAGAAATGGAAGAAACAGCTTGGGAACACAGAGAAATCTGGAGCCAGAACCAAAGATCTTGAAGAGCAGGTACTTTCTCTTAGAAAGGAACTGGAGCTAAAGAAAGAAGAAATCCCTGCGACTGTTAAAGCAGAGCTAGCACAGGCTCGTGCTCAGTGGAACAAAGAAAAGCAAGAAGAAATCATACAGCTACAGGAACAAAATGAGCGAGACTACCGTTCATTCTTAGATGATCATAGAAGTAAAATAAACGAGGTGCTTGCAAGTGCTAAGGAAGATCTTGCGAAGCAGAAAAATGAATTGCTAATTCAGAAAGAGGCAGAACTTAAGATGTGTCTGGACCAAAAGCAACGAGAATGGGCAGGTCAGGAAACACAGAGACTCCAAGAGGAAATTCACCAATATGAGGAGAAGATTCTCATTGAACTTGAGCTCTTGTTAAGGGAAATCCATGAAGAACTAGTCACAAATGGAAATAATGAGCATTCTTGGCAGGATACATGTTCCTGTAGTACCATTCAGTCAAACTGCCAATACAAGGAAAAGCTAAAGGCATCCCTAGAGAAGGCTTATAGAGGCACAATGTGCACAATTCTAGAAAAAGCCAGACAAGAATGGAGAGAGGTAATGGTTCTATAAATTAAAAATATAACTATGCCAGCCCTGAGGAAGGGACTTCTCGGGTAACTGTCATAGGACTTTGCGCATCCCCAAGACATTATATATGGATCAAAAACGTAAAACAATTGAGTTTTTTATTGGTCTATTCTTAAAACTTTAGAAGAGAGATAGAAGGTTCTCTCTTAAATAAGTGAAAAAGAGGACTACAGGTATAACTTTGACATTTTAAAAATTTAAGTTAGACAAATTCAAATTAGAAGTAAGTACACATTTTTAACCGTGAGTGTGATTAGTCATTGGGAAATGGTGGATTCCTTTATTTCTTGATGCCTTGATATCAAGACTGGACACCTTTCTGGAAGATATACTTTAGTCAAACACAAGTTATTTAGCTCAATATAAGGGTAATTGGGTGAAATTCTATGTCTTATGTTATCCAGGAAGTCCTACTGGTCTTCTGACCTTAGCTCAGGAAATAATTTAATCTATGAATTAAACTTGGAATATATCTGGAGAAATTCCAGAAATTGTCTTCTGAAGTTAAAGTAATGGATTTTGTGTTCTACTGGATCAAATATTGCCTTTAACAGTAGTTTGCTTATTTTGCAGGTTGTCATTCATATGTGTTGTTATTCTATAATCTGCTGATATAGTCTTTTTGAATAGAAGTTTAAAAGCATGAACTGAGAAAGCTACCCACCTACCCTAACTGTATACCATCCCTGATAGATGTCTGTCTAACCTGCTTTTAATTATCTCCAGAGATGGAGATTCCACTACCTCCCTAGCCAATTTATTCCAGTGTTTAACAACCCTGATAGCTAGGAAGTTTTTCCTGATGTCCAGGGCTCACCAAGCGGCAGCGAGCCCCACTCGCCAGCCACGCAGTTTCGCGTGGTTCTGCGTTCTGTGCATATGCAGATCGCTCTGTGCTGGCTTTTCTGGGGCTCACCAAGCGGCGGCGAGCCCCACTCGCCAGCCACGCGGTTTCGCATGGTTCTGCGTTCTGTGCATGTGCAGATCGCTCTGCGCTGGCTTTTCTGTGTTATAATCTACTCTCCACGGGCGAGTAGATTACATTATTTGTTGAGCCCTACTAATGTCCAACCTAAACCTTTCTTACTGTAGTTTAAGCCCATTGCTTTTTGTCCCATCCTCAGAGGCCAAGGAGAACAATTTTTCTCCCTCTTCCTTGTGACACCATTTTTAGATTATCTGAAAATTGCTATCATGTCCCTTCTCAGTCTTTTCCTTTCCAAACTAAATAAGCCCAATTCTTTCAGTCTTCCTTCAAAGGTCATGTTCTCTAGACCTTTAATCATTCTTGTTGCTCTTCTCTGGACCCTCTCCAATTTCTCTGCATCTTTCTTGAAATGTGGTGGTCAGAATTGGACACAATACTCCAACTGAGGCCTGATCAGCACAGAGTAGAGTGGAAGAATGACTTCTCATGTCTTGCTCACAACACTTCTGTTAATGCATCCCAGAATCATGTTTGTTCATATTTATTGTGGTCCCCTATGGCCCCTAGATTCGTTTCTGCAATATTCCTTCCTAGACAATTGCTTCCCAATCTGTATGTGTGAAACTGATTGTTCCTTCCTAAATGGAGTACTTTGCATTTGTCCGTATTAAATTTCATCCTGTTTACCTCAGACCATTTCTCCGGTTTGCTTAGATCATTTTGAATTATGACTCTATCGTCCAAAGCAGTTGCAACCCCTCTCACCTCAGTATCATCTGCAAAGTTAAGCGTGCTCTCTATGCCTTTATTTAAATGGTTAATGAAGATATTGAACAGAACTGGTCCCAAAACAGACCCCTGCGGAACCTCACTTTTTATGCCCTTTCAGTAGGATTGTGAACTGTTTATAACTACTGAGAACCGTTATCCAGCCAGTTATGCACCCACCTTACAGTAGCCCCATCTAAGTTGTTTTCTTAGTTTATTGATAAGATCATGTGAGACCATATCAAATGCCTTACTAAAGTCTAGGTATACCACGTCCACCACTTCACAGATTGTTTTGACATGATTTGTTCTTTATAAATCCATGCTGGTTGTTACCTATCACCTTATTATCTTTCCAGGTGTTTCCTTAATTATTTGCTCCATTATCTTCCCTGGCACAGAAGTTAAACTAACTGGTCTGTCGTTTCCTGGATTGTTCTTATTTCCCTTTTTATAGATGGGCACTATATTTGCCCTTTTCCAGTCTTCTGGAATCTCTCCTGTCTTCCACAATTTTTCAAAGATGATAGCTAAAGGCTGAGATACCTCCTCTATCAGCTACGTGAGTATTCTAGGATGCATTTCATCAGGCCCCGGTGACTTACAAACATCTAACTTTTCTATGTGATTTTTAACTTGTTCTTTTTTTAATTTTATCTTCTAAACCTACCTCATTCCCACTAGCATTCACTGTGTTAGGCATTCTTTCATCATCAGACTTCTTGGTGAAGACTGAAACAAAGCACCTCTGCCATTTCCAAGTTTCCTTTTACTGTTTCTCCCTCCTCACTGAGCAATGCATACATTGTGCAACATACCCACCATTGTCTCCTGGCCCTACGAGCTTGACTAATGCAGGTCTAGAAACTAGGCAAGGACCCACAGTAATTGTTTTGTCCCCCCAGCTCTCCTTGTCCTGCTCAATTGGTGGCTGCAGAGCCAGGTAGTTTGAGGGGCTGGGTTTCAAGAAGGACACCAGTCACTCGTGACAACGCTTCTGCTGTAGGGTGGGGTGCTTATCTGGGCCAATTGCAGATGCTGGGCCTGTCGTCCCAGGATGAACTAGGCCTTCACATAAACATGTGGGAACTATGGACCATTCGCGTGGATTGCCAGGTCTTTCTGGATCCCCTATGGGGCACGTGCAAGGAAGTGTTCATGGACAACTTTATGGCAATGTTTTTTGTGAACAATCAAGGAAGTGCTGACTCCTTTCCCCTGTGCCAGGAAGCTATACTCCTATGGGAATTCAGTATCAGCAATGGCATTAACCCTTCAAGCCTCATTCCTCTGGGAGGTTCAACTAGCTGGCAGACTGGTTCAGTCACTTGTTTTCCAATCACAAGTGGTGTGATGGATAGGAGGAGTGCTGGCCAGTACTAGGTGACTAAAGTGTTAAACTCAGGTAGCTAAGGGTGTTGGCAGGGGCCAGAAGAACCAACGGGATACAGTGCTGAAATGTTAATTGTATATACATACCTACTGTTAATTGTATATACATTCCTACCTGTTTCTCTTTGTGTGCGTTTGAAGTTAAGGACTGGAGGGAGCAATATGCAATAATCAGGACTACCATGCCTCCAAGGAATTCGGGGCATGGAAGTGGATTGGACCATGAAGGGATCATGAATAAATAAGGGGAAAATGCATATTTAGGTATTATCAGCGTATTTTTCTTTGTTTTGGTTGTTTGGTTAAATTTCTCTGTGTGGATACCATGTGCCTTCCCTCCCCCACTCACCATATATAGCTACAGCCCAAAGAGATTGCTCTTTGTGTTTTGACCTATTCTTTTCTTAGTTGCTCTGTAACACCTAGCAACCAAGTATGCTTTATCAAATATATCTTTGTTTTGCTAATAAAATCCCCCTTTTTAAGGTGATGATTTGATTCGTGTGTCCTGGAAGATAACAGGAGGTATGTGTGTATATCTGCCTAGCCTGGAAGGTCAGCTATCAAAGACACAGTTTGTTTTCTGTTTTTTCTTTTGTTTCTTTTTTCAAGCTCTCTTGTGGCCCAAAAGCTTGGGGTACCCGTTGGGAAGGAATTTAAGTGTTCCTTCCTAACTTTTTTCAGGGTTCTTTTAAAAAAAAATCACTGGGCCAGATATTCTGCTACCCATCTTCCAGAAGTGGGGGTTTTCCCTAGTAGACCTATTTGTGACAAGGGTCAACTGTAAGTATCCCATGCATTGCTGCTTCCTAGGCAGCAGCTCAAGCTTCCTTTTGGATGTTTTTCACCTCGCATGGTCAGGCCGGATGTGTTATGGTTCTCCCCCTGCTCCCCCTTATCTACAGGATCCTTCTTAAAATCAAGAAAGGCGGGGCCTCAGTCATCCATGTAGCTCCCGTATAGAATCATAGAATAATAGGACTGGAAGGGACCTCGAGAGGTCATCGAGTCCAGCCCCCCGCCCTCAAGGCAGGACCAAGCTCCGTCTACACCATCCCTGACAGATGTCTATCTAACCTGTTCTTAAATATCTCCAGAGAGGGAGATTCCACCACCTCCCTTGGCAATTTATTCCAATATTTGACCACCCTGACAGTTAGGAATTTTTTCCTAATGTCCAATCTAAACCTCCCCTGCTGCACTTTAAGCCCATTACTCCATGTCCTGTCCTCAGAAACCAAGAGGAACAAATTTTCACCTTCCTCCTTGTGACACCCTTTTAGATATTTGAAAACCACTATCATGTCCCCCCTTAATCTTCTTTTTTCCAAACTAAACAAGCCCAGTTCATGAAGCCTGGCTTCATAGGCTTCTCTAGACCTTTAATCATTCTTGTCACTCTTCTCTGTACCCTTTCCAATTTCTCCACATCTTTCTTGAAATGTGGCGCCCAGAACTGGACACAGTACTCCAGCTGAGGCCTAACTAGTGCAGAATAGAGCGGCAGAATGACTTCACGAGTTTTGCTTACAACACACCTGTTGATACAACCTAGAATCAAGAACTATGGCCCAGATAGTACTGGTTTGCCCTATTACTGAGCCTTTCCAGGGCCACTACAATAACCCTTCTCTTCTTCTTGTCGCCCATGACCACGGCAGCCTCCATCACCCCCAGCATGGATGATCTGAGGTTGAACCCCACAGAGATGGGCTTCTCCAGTCCAGTTAGGGAGGTCCTCATGGGGAGTAAGAAACTGTCTTCCAGGGTCACTTAGCAAGCCAAGTGGAAATGCTTTTCCATATGGTGCAAGCAAAAGGGGATCCGGGCACTGAAGACTCCTATCTCTGTCATCTTAGACTACTTAATGTGTATAAAGTAGCAAGGTTAGTGCTTTGCTCTAAGAGTGCACCTGGTGGCCATTTCCTCTTTCCACATGGGGAATTGTGGTAGGTCTGTATTTACAGATCCCATGGTGATCTGTTTTCTTAAGGAACTTGACCAACTGTACCTTCATGTCAGACATCCCCTTCTCCAATAGGATTTGAACCTTGTGCTCTCTAAACTGATGGGTCCTCCCTTTGAACCTCTGGCCACCTGTCCTACTTGTCGTGGAAGGTAGATGACTTTGTACAGCCATTCCCCAACTTATGACCATCCACACTTACGACCAAAACGGTTGTAAATGTGGATCCGAGTTACAAACGGCGATCCGCGCTTACGAACAGAACAGTTGCCATGTAATTCTATGGTATCCGAGTTACGAACAGTTCGAGTTACAGACCAGGTGTTGGTCCATAACTCGGAGAGCGGCTGTAGTTATAACTTGAGCCAGGAGGGTCTCTGAGCTCCAGGCCCTCCCTTTGGTACTCTTCTATACTGTCTTTTAGCAGGACAAAGTTCAGTTATGGCAGCATCTAGCCTTTCTACCTAAATTGGTCTCCCACTTTCATGTCAACCAGACTCTATTCCTGCCTGTCTTCTGTCCGAAACCCCATACTAATGATAGGGAGTGTGTGCTGCACTCCCTGGATGTTTGGTGAGCTCTCATGTTCTATGTAGAAAGAACAAAGCACTTTAGAAAGTCACCACAAGTCTTTATTGCACTGACAGGGAGACCTTTCATCCTATGTCTCCTCTCAACAACTCGCCCTTTGGATCATGTCTTGTATCAGAATGTGGTACAACCTAGAAAAGTTGTTAGCACCTGCACAGATTACCCACTTCACTAGAGCCCAGGTATCTTTGGGGGCATTCTATGAAAATATTCCAATTCAGGACATTTGCTGAGTAGGGACATGGTTGTCTGTGCTCACCTTCATGTCTCACTAAGCCATCATGCAGCATGCCAGAGATAGTGCTGTGTTTGACAATGAAGTTCTTGCTTTGGTCACTAAATGACTTCTCATCCCTCCTCCAAGAGAACTGCTAATAAGTCACATATTGAAATACACATGGCAATCATTCAAAGAAAAAGCAATTACTTATCTTTTGTAACTTATTCTTTGAGATGTGTTGCTCGTGTCCATTCCAAATCCTGCACACCTCTCCTCTGTCGGAACAAACTGGCACAAAGGAGCTGAGAGGGTTGGGGGTTGGCTGTGTCTTTATATGTGCTGCAGCAGAGGCACCATGCCAGAAGGCTCCACAGCCAACCCTATGGATACCGCTAGGATAAAAGCTTTCCAGAGACCATGCACATACACATAGACTGTGTCTAGACTGCATCCCTTTTCCATAAAAGGGATGCAAATTAGACACATCGCAATTGCAAATGAAGTGGGGATTTAAATCCCCCCCTTCATTTGCATAAACATGGATGCTGCTTTTTTCCGGCTCGAAGCTTTGCCGGAAAAAAGCGCCAGTCTAGACGTGGACTTTTTGGAAAATAAAGCCTTTTCCGAAGATCCCTTAAAAGGAATAAGGGATCTTTCGGAAAAGACTTTATTTTCCGAAAGGTCCGCGTCTAGACTGGCGTTTTTTTCCATCAAAGCTCCGAGCCGGAAAAAAGCGGCAGCCATGTTTATGCAAATGAAGCGGGGGGGATTTAAATCCCCACTTCATTTGCAATTGCGATGTGTCTAATTTGCATCCCTTTTATGGAAAAGGGATGCAGTCTAGACACAGTCTATGTGTATGTGCATGGTCTCTGGAAAGCTTTTATCCTAGCGGTATCCATAGGGTTGGCTGTGGAGCCTTCTGGCATGGTGCCTCTGCTGCAGCACATATAAAGACACAGCCAACCCCCAACCCTCTCAGCTCCTTTGTGCCAGTTTGTTCCGACAGAGGGATGTGAGCAACACATCTCAACAGTCACAAGGTAAGTAACTGGTTTTTTTTCCTCTTACTTTTGATTTATGTTGGGTGTGCCAAGGGGATGAATCCTCCAGTCTTGTTTGTAGAATACCATGTAACACATCTATTTCTGTTAGCTTTATTGAGACCATTAAACAGTGAATAGATCCTCCATTTCTGCTTCTCTATGATGTTTAAAAATTAGAGAGGATCATTTAAAATCATACAAAGGCTTGAAAAATTGTTAAAAATGTATTGTCACCGATTTTAAATAGTCTTGCTTGAGTTTATCTGGATTGTAAAAAAATTTTGTTTTGTGTCTCTCCATTTTCAAAAACATCGTAGTCTCCCATTTAAAGGGAAACAGAATTTGCAAGGCTCACACAAAACCTTACTTTTTATGTTTTCTGTTCTTTGGAAAATGCTTCTCCTGCATTTCATAGCTGTTACCTTTTGATTGTTGGGAGCACCCCAATGAAACTCCTATGACCACCCAACAGAATACCTCATTCATCAGTTGGGGAATCATCTAAAAACATGGCAAAAACACATAAGATACTATCATTTATCTTATCTCTTCCAGAAACGGATTGAAAGTAAGGAATTACTTGTCATAAGGCTGCTGCCAGCATGTAGTGGGGCAACCAGTTTCTATTTGAAGCTGACCCCATGTTCAAATAAATGAATAATCTGTAAATTTAAGGTTTTTTTTTTTCTGTAGTAGCCATATAATAGGTGTCACTGATAAAGCATAGAATCTTTTCCTTCTGATACATCTGCTCTAAACTGGAAGTGCCATTTCAAACAGGATTACGTTAACATGCACTAGGTACCTTTTTAATCCAAGCAAGCCGAGTTTAAAGGGGGGTAGTTACAGTGCAACAGTCTAGTGGATGCTGTAGTTCACATTCCCGTATCCTTACTGCAAGGCCACGTTGACAAACATTTAGCAGCAAAAGTCTTGGTGAAAGCCGTTGGCAAAAAATCAACATTATTAATATTGAATTCAGCTTCTGAACTACTGATTATTTGAACTACTTAACTATTCAAAAAGTTCTTGGGTTTCTTAGCAATTTCTTCTATTTATATTTGCCACAACTATGAATAAGAAAGTAAAATAATTGTTTCTGCCCTTACACTGTCCCTAGTCAAACAGGAACTTTTATCAATGAAATCCAGTTCTTTTCCATTGGACACATCTTTGAACAGTTTCAGCTTGTTTTAGGCTTTACATATTTATGCCTTATTTAGACTACATGAAGCTTACCTGAAAACCATGAAGATGACAAAATGCTAATAAAGCTGTAGCTATGACTAAGAGAACACTGTGGTAAACTGGCACTGAGAGAGCCTGTCTTCTACCTTCAGTGAGCAGTTTTAGAAATACAATAAAGATTTTTGCTATCTTGATAGATCTTTGGAATAAAACTGTTCAAAGCTAGTGGAGGCATTGTGGGATGATCCATTTGTTTGCTACACAGACTGTTTGTGGATGTAGCTATTTTTAAGTATCTATGAGCATTAAGAATTTACTGAGTACAGTAGACTTCCGATAATCTGGAACCTTTGGGACCTAGGTGGTGCTGGATTATCGGATATGCCAAACTATAAAATGGTGTTATATATACACACACAGTATATACTGTATATAAAGTGTTTTTAACCCTTTTTATTGTACATACTGTAATGCATACATTTAGTCATAGAAAGAATAAATGTACAGTACAGTACTCACCATTATTGTTGCGAAGCCTTTGAATACAGAAAGCAGAGGATACTGGGTACAGTACTGTGCAGCACTGACTAATCACTTAAACTATTAATCACTTAAACTGTTAATTACAGTAACTGCTGCTGCCTTGTGATTCGTTTTTTGCCAAAGCTCACTCAATAGGCTCTTGCCATTTTGATGCCGGACTATCGGGAGTGCCGTACAATTGGATGCCGGACTATTGGAGTTTTACTGTATTTCTAATATCTGGTTTCAAATTACAGAAACATGAAGAACAACTCTTCAAAGAAACAGAGCACTCTTGCATGCAAAATGGTGAAGGAGAAAGTGGGGACAAGGCAAAATCATCCACGTATGATGTTGGACACCAAGTAAAGTTACAAAAATTATTAAGGAGGCAGCCCCCTTTGCAAGATACTGAAATGGATAATGGTATACTTGGTTTCACTTTTCACTGAAATCTTGTAAATTTTGTGCAGCATATAAAATGTAATTTTAGATTATCATTTTTCAATAAAGTCCCTTGTTAATTTCACAGAAGAACTCAGATGTCATGCAGCTGAGTGTCACCACACATAGCTTTTAGGTGCCGCATATCATGGAGATCTATAAAGCCTGATTGAGGCATTTAGACTCATTATACAATGAATTTCGGGGGAGCTAGGTACCTCAGAATGGGATTCACAAAAGCCAACGTGGTAGGTAGCTCCTTGCCTAAACTAGCCAATGGGAGGTGCCAAGCCAATGGTGTGTGTATAACATTTTTAGCAAGAAGCTAGGGAAGGGTCAGGAGGAGGAGAAGTAGCTCTTGTGGTTAGACTACTCAACTGGGATTTGGGAGGCCTCTGGTTCAAGTCTTTCCTCTTCCCAAGGGAGAGAATTGATTTGAACCTCTCAGGTAGGTGTCTTAAACATTGGGTTATGGGATGTTCCAATGGGGCTTGTAACCTTTATGTTGATATGTTTCTAATTAATATAATGTTGCTAAAAATAAGGATACAATAAAACTCAATATTCAGATTCAAGCCTCAAGACTAAGTACAGAAAATTTAGTAGAGGTCCTCTACATGACATTTTTGTCAAATTAAACTTTATTAAAAAGTAAAATGATTAGTGGCACCTAATTAAATGTTAATTGGAGCTCCCCTCAATTTTAACAAAATTATCCCTTTTGTATCTGTTATGATTAGGTTAAATATTAATTAGAATTATAACTATGGTCACATGTCTGCAACTCCTTATTGATTCTTTACATTACATATTATTTAACTTAATATCTACAACTATGTCCTTCCCATATTACCAATATAGAGAACAGTTTAATAAAACATGCACAATTTTTAAAAACTTTTATTAAAAACTTCCTAGAATCAGTTATAACCAAGACACAGCCACAGAATAACCTTGGGTCATGTCTTTGCTAACTGCAACTTTCCCATCTTATGTCCCCAACTTATCTCTAACTTTCTTACACGTAGCAACTTCAAGTCTATTTTCCAGGCTTCTCTATGCCAAAATCTAATTTCTATTTAACATAGGCTACATACTACCTCAGTCTCTCCTGTTCCCTCTTACTTCACGTATAGAGAGTACAAAAGCAAATTATTTGGAGATCCAACTGACGTATCCCCCAGCAGCGTGATGATTTTCCATGTTCTTGTTAAATATATTTTGTCATGCTGACTAACTCCTGATTTGTGACGTTAAAGTTCAGATTTTTTTGAGACTCCTGCTCTAGAATATTCTGACTTCATAATATTTTAAGTTAAACAGAAATGTTGCAGCTCACTCCCAAATGTCTTGTATATAGTGTGGCCGGGTCAGGACCTGCACAGCTGGAGAGAGACATCACAGGAGGCCCCAGGTTATGCACAAAGCCCTCTCCTAGGTTTCATGTTTGCTTTTAGAGTTCTTATGCTACCAAAAGAACATAAAACAACAAAGCCCATGAGTCTCTGGCCCTATGCCCATACTGTGGCTTAAATCCTTCACCACCAAAATAACAAACCATCTATTAAACACAAAATAGTATAACCAGTGCAACTCTTCTGCTTCTGGAGCTCCTTTGTCCTGGCTGTAGAAAGGAGCCCTTTCCCTTCTCCTGGAAATAGACCAGCCTGTCTTTATATTTCTTAACCTAACTAGGTTCAGCCTGCATGTGATCCTTTCCATCTGGGAGTGCCTCCTTGAAATGACTCATAAAGTCTCTACTAGAATTTCTTTTTAAAAAAATAGTCCCAAAATCTCCATCCCCTTCCCCCCCATTTGAGTCAGTGGACCTCTCTACATTCACAACACTGCTGGGTTGGGTACGTTGTGTCTGCAGTGCACAAAAAGATGTACAATTTATAGATCTTTTAACAAATACTGCATTTGGACTGTGTCTCTACAGCCTCTTATGAGACTTTTAGTTAGCTATAATGTACATTTTTCTTGGGTGTAAAGGAATAGCTAATTAAAATCCTAAAAATATGTTTGATTTTGGTTCTCTTGATTCTGTGACTGATATGTAACTTGAAGTAATCACTATTGCAGATCAGAAATGTAAGGAAAGGAATCTCTGGTCTCATGAAGATTTTTGCTGTGACCACTGTTGCCAGCAGCTTGAAACAAAGGAGACAGAATGCCAGGATCTAAAAAGAAAACTGGAGAAAGCCTGCAGGCACCTCCAGCTTGCAGTGAGGGAACACAAAGCTAAAGTAGAGCAAATCCAAGGTTAGTATCTCTACTCACCTAAATAGAATTCTGAATAGTTTAATCTCCTCCTGGTTATATGAATCTGTCCTTCATCTTTAAGCTGCAGAGTACAACTGCTGTAATGGTACATATCTAAATAACTCTCAGCCCTAATAAATTGACTTTCTAACATTCATTACAGAACTTTTTTCTAAACCTCTATATCCTGGGGACTAGCATAGAGATCAGTGTTTTGATTTGTTCTGTGATCTCTGAATGAGTCTGTTCTAGGAAAATGTAACTGACAATGGATATTCTTTGTGCATTTGTCCACATAGATTTCACTGTAAATGTATATGCCCTGTGTGCATGAGCCTGTAATCTTTGGCCAGCAGTTTCCACTGGGGCTGCACGTATGCTCTGCAGGGTATAAAGTAGGGATGTAAGCACTTAGTCGAGTAGCCGACTACTTGATAAGCCTAGGCTTATTGAGTAATCGAGTCACTACTCAACCAGTCACCTCTCCCCTCCTTTCTGTCTCTACCAGGCTCACGCCTGGTCCCCCACTGCTCCTCTGCCTTTTAAATGTAGTAATAGCCGAGCGGCTCTTAGAATCATAGAATCATAGAATAATAGGACTGGAAGGGACCTCAAGAGGTTGAGTCCAGCCCCCCGCCCTCAAGGCTATCTAACCTGTTCTTAAATATCTCCAGAGAGGGAGATTCCACCACCTCCCTTGGCAATTTATTCCAATATTTGACCACCCTGACAGTTAGGAATTTTTTCCTAATGTCCAATCTAAACCTCCCCTGCTGCACTTTAAGCCCATTACTCCTTGTCCTGTCCTCAGAAACCAAGAGGAACAAATTTTCACCTTCCTCCTTGTGACACCCTTTTAGATATTTGAAAACCACTATCATGTCCCCCCTTAATCTTCTTTTTTCCAAACTAAACAAGCCCAGTTCATGAAGCCTGGCTTCATAGGCTTCTCTAGACCTTTAATCATTCTTGTCACTCTTCTCTGTACCCTTTCCAATTTCTCCACATCTTTCTTGAAATGTGGCGCCCAGAACTGGACACAGTACTCCAGCTGAGGCCTAACTAGTGCAGAGTAGAGCGGCAGAATGACTTCACGAGTTTTGCTTACAACACACCTGTTAATACAACCTAGAATCATATTTGCTTTTTTGGCAACAGCATCACACTGTTGACTCATATTCAACTTGTGGTCCACTATGACCCCTAGATCCCTTTCCGCCATGCTCCTTCCTAGACAGTCGCTTCCCATCTTGTATGTATGGAACTGATTGTTCCTTCCTAAGTGGAGCACTCTGCATTTCTCCTTATTAAACCTCATCCTGTTTACCTCTGACCATTTCTCTAACTTGCTAAGGTCATTTTGAATTATGTCCCTATCCTCCAAAGAAGTTGCAACCCCACCCAGTTTGGTATCATCCGCAAACTTAATAAGCGTACTCTCTATCCCAATATCTACATCATTGATGAAGATATTGAACAGTACGGGTCCCAAAACAGACCCTTGAGGAACTCCACTTGTTATCCCTTTCCAGCAGGATTTAGAACCGTTAACAACAACTCTCTGACTACGGTTATCCAGCCAATTATGCACCCACCTTATCGTGGCCCTATCTAAGTTATATTTGCCTAGTTTATCAATAAGAATATCATGCGAGACCGTATCAAATGCCTTACTAAAGTCTAGGTATATGACATCCACCGCTTCTCCCTTATCCACAAGGCTCGTTATCCTATCAAAGAAAGCTATCAGATTAGTTTGGCATGACTTGTTCTTCACAAACCCATGCTGGCTATCTTACTACATTTAAAAGGCAGACTCATAGCAGGGTTAACTCCTGACACCAGGAGCTAGCCCTGTTGTGGCTCTGCAGTTCCTCTCCTTATTGACTAATCAAGTAGTCGATCAAAATTCCATCGACTATTTGATTAGCTGATTAAACACAATTAACATCCTTCGTATGAAGAGCTGAGTGGTCCCAACTGCCACTCAATTCCCTTTCTTTTCACATTCTATGGTAGCAAGTCAGATGCCACTGTTCTGCTTTTCTGTAGTCCTTATTTTATTTTTATTTTAGTTAGTAGCTTAGATAATAGTCTGTAGTTTAAATAGTAAAAGGGAGGATTCTTCAGTTTTCCCCCCTCTTCCTTTTTAGAAACTTTCCTTTGTTTCTGTGGAGTTGATCCCAGGGGCGGAGAACAGGCTTTAGAATCTTCCCTGCTTTAGAGACCATTATACCCACCCAAGATGCACAAACAACATGTGTGCTTTGTTTAAGTACATCTCTTGCCCCTAGCAGCATGCCATTTGTAACTTTTTCTATGTTCATGCAAACAGCTCATGATACTCCAAGGAAGGAAAGAGCAAAATCTCTGAAGGGAGCTTGGATCAGTTGCTGTCTCCAAAAGTCATAGCTCCTCTGCAAATTGCATTAGCACATGACACTTCATAGATTATAGAGTACTTTGCACTCTATCTTTAGTGACAGACATTGTGCTTCCTTAGTACCATTGGCATCAGTATCCTATATTGCATGTTCATTGTTACCTCATTCTGATAAGACTTCTGTTGAGATGCCTCCATTGGTACCATAGTCACAGTATGCTTGATATTGCTACTGCTTGCTATGTCCTCCCAGGCTACTTTCACATCTCCTGCAGATCCTACCATCACTCTGGAACTAGAGTGTCTCTTCCTTGATGTGTGTGTCTATCTGCTATTAGTCTCTGCTGGTACCAGAGCTCAGGATGCCAGAGACAGACCGACGAGAGAGTTCTAGAGACTCACATGGAAGAAAACTGAAATGAAGATGAAACTCAAAGATGTTACTCTATTGTGGCAGATTCTAGATCAAATTGTCCTCATTATCTTACAGTCGTGATTTAGGCAGAATTTCTATACCCTCCTCTATACCCTCTTTTATAACCTTGTTGCAAGTTGTCTGAGGTTTTGCAAGGTGCATATACAGCCCCCATGGATGCTGCTCGCTAAAAGATCCAGGCTTATGCCCACATCTACAATAGAATCCCAATGGGCAAAAGCAGCTCTCAGTTCCACTTACTGTAAGATAAGTAATGTGTTTTTCATCATGCTTCACCTGACCTCTCCCCATTTTATGTCACAGCTGTTGCATTAAATACTTCTTTATAAAAAAGCATGCTAGTTGCTTTGTCACTATGAATGTTTATACTCCATCCTGTCTTCCCCATCAGGGCAATCACTTCCATCACTAAGAGGCCCACTCACTGCATACTTTTCTCACAGAGCCAGTGGTTTCTGTGCATATAGTCTGTCCCATTGCAGACAGTATGGAACTGGCTCATTTAAATATTCAACTACACAAGTCAATGTGCAGTTTGAATCAGAAGTCAAGATTTAGGGATCTCTGGGCCACCAATATATTCAGTTTGCACACTGAATGTTTAAATGACTTCTGGTACACAGTCAAATTAGACATCTATACAGAATTTGGGATGTAAAGGATTAATCAGTTACCTGGTAAGCATCACCCTTACCAGGTAAACAGTTAGCCAGAAGCCCGGCTGGGCTAGAGCAACCCCCCAATTCCAGTTAACTGGTTAAATATTAAGTTTAACTGGTTAACTTCTTAAATGGGATTTTACATCCCTACAGCGAATCCCATCTTTCTTTGTAATGTCATCTAGTGGTTGTTAAAAATACCATGATACAGTGTGAAGTGTAAAATTTTCTCCTCCCCTGTCCCAAAGAAGTCTCAATTGCTGCATTATAAATAACCTTTCTTCCTCCCCAGCTTTTTCCTTCTAATATCCTGAACTTCTGCCTGTAGCAAAGAGTAAAAATTTCTCTCAGAAACCTGTCTGCACCACCACTGAGTCGATTATATTGCTCTTCTATTCAGACTTCAAATGACCTATGGTCTAGTCAGTTTCTAACTGTCATTGTGATGTCATGGCATGTTGCAGCTACTTTGAAACAATGATCTCTTATCACAGCAGCAGTAATTTTATATAACCTCTGAAAATATTTAAATGGATAAAAACCTACAGGCCAATTTTAACTGTCAAAATCTTGGATTTTGTAGAAAAGGAGAGAGTTCTAGAGGCTCTGATGGAAGAAAATTGTGAGATGAAGATGAAACTCAAAGATCTGAAAACAATCAGTACTCCACCAAGGTATTTTGTAAAGGTCTGAACAAATTGGCTTCCATAGAAATCATCCTAGCAGTCTTGAAATTATAAAGTACTGCATGTTTTGTGTCATTGTCCAGGTCATTGTCAGAGGGGGCTATTTCAAAACCTTGTACCTCCTGTGATGGTATAAAAGGCTTAGAAGAAATGCGCACACAGTATATTAAAGCTGTAGGCAAAATTAAAGGTAAGTTCACACACACAACTGCAAATCACACTCTTATCAGCCAGCTCATGCAAGAATCCAAATTTCTGTCTGCTGAGGAATGAAATTTGCTGCCTATTGAAATATTTCATGGGAGCTATTTGCTAATTTTTTCACCTTCCTCTTCCCAATTAACACAAATATATGTATAATACAGGAAGTCCTTGCCATTTGCAGTTTCACATATTCGTGTTGCACTTTGTTGCACCAGGCCAAGCACAACAAAGCATTATGATGTTTTTTCAGTGTGCTCTAGTAACGGAGCCTGAAAATTTAAAAGGGAAATTTAAGCTGCAATGATGCCATACTGGGAAATTTTAGATACTACACTTGTTCATTGCATTATTACATGTAAATGTGAATCTATTGCATCATTACACTGTTTTATATGGAAAATGTGGTTGTTTCGCATTGGGAACACACATCCCCCCAGATTCCTTCTCAGTCTCCAGTATTTGCGGATTTTGCCATTCGTGGTGATCTCAAGAACATATCCCACATGAATGGTGAGGGCTTTCTGGGTATGAAAGACACTTGTATTCTCTCTCGCACCAAGTGTCCCCAGGCAATGTTGTCTTAAATCCTTTTTACTTCTGAGACTCCATATTAATGAAACCATGTTTGTGTAGGCGATATGCTTCGTTATATCCATGAAAGTAAAGAGAGAGCAGCTGAAATTATTAAAGCTGAGGTTTTAAGGGAACGACAAGAGACTGCCCGGAAAATGCGCAAATACTACTTGATTTGTCTTCAGCAACTTCTCAGTGATGATGGGAAACACGAAGGGTGAGTCCCAAACACATGAATTCAGAATTATTATATAGCACATATCGTATCATCATATATAGTAGCCCAATGTCTGAGAGTCTGTAATGCTGAAATGCTGGCTGTTCCCTCTGGCCGGCCCAGGCTGCATGGAGAGTGCGGGGCCCAAATGGCCACTTGCTCTCCCGCAGCAGCCCGGCTGAGTGGTGCAGAAATCAGCTGAGTGCCACGGTGGGAGACGAAGGGGGGCGGGGCAGTGACAGCAGCTCCAGGCCCCACCTCCCACTGTGGTGCTCAGTTGACTTCTGTACCGCTCAGCCAGGCCACCGCATGGGAGCTAGTGGCGCAAGCGACCGTTTGGGCTACGCAGTCCCCCGAATGAGAGGCAGGAGGGGGAGGAGAGCTGAAAGAAAGCGGGGGGGGAGGGAGAGATGGAGAGAGGGGGAGAGAAATGGAGCAAGAGACCGGAGGGTCAGGAGAGAATACTGACATGGAGGAGAGACCTGAAAATCCCATTTTATGACGGGCTAATTGGCTAGTACTAGAAAAAAACAGAAATACACAAATATAAAGAGAAGAATATTAAGCCCCTAGTCAGTTGACCATTGTTTATGTTCTCTGAGGTTGTCAAAAACACACTTTGGTGTGAGTCCTCTTCAATAAACTTTGACTGAAACTAGCTGAGCAGCCTTTCTTAATACCTTCTCAGAATGCACCCATGATTCTCCAGAAAGTTTCCATCAAATAGGTGAACAGGAAAACCTCATGTTGTGACTTCACAGCAGTTTTGCAGCTTCAAAAAATTAAGTTTGGCTTTAAATGTAACCTGGAGAAGGAAAGGGAATGAGTTTGTACCTTTTCTTGCTTGCTTGAAGTATTAAGATGTTGTGGAATGTTTAAACAAAAAACAAAAGTGGAATTCCCCCCCTTCCCTCTTCCATCTTTTCTGAAGAACTTGTCTGAGGAAATCTTGGATACTGTTTCTTTTCTCCGGCTTAACTGAAGAGACAGGATAGTTTGAATTTCTATCACATTTTCCTTTGGAGTGTTTGTATGGCAGCTGAGGTAAATCGGTTTTAAGACATAACAAGTGTTTGGCAGTCTGGTTTAAAAATACCTCCCATCTTAATCCAGTTTTGCGACTTTGATGCCATAATCCTTGCAATTCCAAAAGAATCTCTCAGGGTCCACTAATGATGGATTTCTATTCTGAAAAGGGAGGGAAAAAAGCACCAAAGTTATAACATTTTGCATGGACATTTTGCAAGAATGGCTTTGGGAGGGGGAAGGGCATGTCAACATTTTAGTCCTTTATATAACATGTACTCAAATAGGGTGCACACTATTTTTTTTCTCCCTTTTTAGTAGGTGTCTTTTACTAAATGGCCAATTAGTGCATGGGGAAAGGGTATAAAATGTAGTACTGGCAAAGCAGTCTAGGAAAAAGTTAGTTTCAAAACTTACTGATTTTAAATATACAACAGGGCTGAAAAGAAAATAATGAATGCTGCTAGCAAGCTTGCTACAATGGCAAAAGTACTCGAAACACCTGTTCGGAGCACACCTCAGAGCAAAAATGCCCACTTACGTAAGTTGAAGTGACAGAGTGGTTCCCTTCCTTCCCCTCTTACAGGTTTAATCCATTTAGTGGTGAAAACGCAAGTGGACAGTGGGGGGAAATGATGTGTTTGGTTTGGGGTTTTTTTGGGGGGGTTTTTTTGCTATCCTTTGCCATTGTACCCTCAGTGCAAATGTAAAAATGTGCCCCACTTGATTTGACAGCACTAGTATTGACAGCTATTTTTATATACTCTGACTCTTTTTCAACATTGTTTCTTTAATTTTTTTTCTCCTCCCTCTCCTTCCCTTAGCCCTGCCACTAAACTCTGAACTGCCAACTGGCGTTGAACAATCAACAAGAAATCACATTCTTCAAAGTAGGACGGCCCATATGGAAAGCAAATCATGTGGCAAAAGAATTGCCAAAAAAGCCAATGATCAAATTGTTCAGAAACGCATACCTTATAATTTAAGACAGCAGCTTGATGCAGTAGAGGCTAAAACACAGTCTGGACTACATGAAAGAGGGACTTCAAGTATCCAAAGTAGCAGGAGTGCTTCTAAACAGCCAGTTGATAATCCAAGAGAACCCGTGCC